TCCCGCATGTTAGTCCGAAGAAGCCTTTTAACAATGATTTGCAAGGATATGCATCATAATTTTTTCATTCGCGTTTAAATCTTGACCGGAATTCAATAAAACTAAACATATCTCCTTCTTTTATTCTCATCTTTTAAATTTCTTGTTCTGCTATCAAAAATAAACGGAAATTAACCCTCATCCGCCCACATGGAGTCCGCGCGAACCCCAGACTAATAAACGACAAACTAAATATAAAGGTACAGTAGTTTCGTTGTGGGACTATAGTGCTTATGCAGGGGACTTAGTTGCAAGCTGAATGAGGAGACTTACAACTAACCTAAGCGATTTTTCCTCAGTCTTTTCTCATATTACTGTCAAATTGAAATTTTCGAAGATACGGAATCGTGTATGGCATACTGAACAGCTATGCATGTTTTGCGATGATTTCTTGAATCAACAACAATTGAATCTGATTATCTGATACTATCAGCGTACTCTATTAGATGTCCCCAACATATATCTTACAAGAAAAGTTTCCAGCTAACATTAGGAGTAGAGGAAACTGAATTGATTTCTTGTAGGAGTCCATTCGAACCCCGGTGGGCAAAATATGTAAATTGCACCTGGAGATAATTTATCTCCTAGATAATAAGTAATGATAAGCGACTGGTCTTCGTGATAGCATATCTAGACAGGAATTTCATATTATGAAATTCATAATACATGGTTATGCGTGTGAAACGCTAGAATGAAATCGCTTGGCGTCCCTTTGGACCCCAGGTGGGTGGATCAGGGTTAATTGAATCCTAACACATTAGATTACGATGTCAGTAAACTATCATCATCATCTATATATATAAAGAAGAAAGTTTGTCTGTCTGTCTGTCTGTCTGTCTGTCTGTTCGCTATGCATTCAGTCCCTGTAGCAGCTATCGGCGTGGAACTTTCCACAATGCTTCCTGAGACCCAGAGGAAGGTCGACATCTACTTTTCCCCGAGAACAAAGGAGCCAGCCGTTTGCTGCAGGCAATATATGAAACGGACCAATAGGATTGCGAGATTTCCCAAATTGAGGAAATTAATAGCGAAGGCGGCCGAAGGCCGTCTGAGCGCTCATAGACAACAATCCACGTGTTCTACGTGCGCATGGGAGTCCTATACATGCTACAAGCAACCTGCGAAGCTGACCAATAGGATTGCGAGATGTGAAAAATTGCAGCGGGTCGGTAGCGAAGGCGGCCGAAGGCCGTCTGAGCGCACATAGACATCAATCCACGTGTTCTGCCTGTGCATGCTACAAGCAACCTTGGACGCTAACCAATTGGATTGCGAGATGTGAAAAATTGCAGCGGGTCGGTAGCGAAGACCGTCTGAGTGCTCAAAGACAACAATCCACGTGATCTCTACGCCTATAATAGTTCGGTGAATGCTACAGATAATCTGCGAAACTCACCAATAGCGTTACAGGATCTCAAAAAATGAAGATAAATGTCGAGGGTGGGCGAATTCGAAGGATATAAGGTATGAAGTGACGTGATAGTGAGAAAGAGGTCGATGAATGAATAGCTGGAGTGTAGAATGAATATTAGAGAGAGAGAGAGAGAGAGAGAGAGGAAATTTGAATAAGTTCTGAGGCAGAAATCAGCTTCGGTAACTCTTTTGCATAAAGAGCTATAATTGAAGTTGTCGTTTTGTGCGATGCACGGCGGGAAAAATTAGGACCGCCAGCATACAATCTTGGAGTCTATTGATTTTTCTATTTGCTGCAGCTTTTCAACACGTCAGGCATTCGACATAGATATTTCTTATTTTGCAGCGGGTACGCCCGCTAGTCATCTATATATATAAAGAAGAAAGTTTGTCTGTTTGTTTGTTTGTTCGCTATGCATTCAGTCCCTGTAGTAGCTATTGGTGTGAAACTTTCCACAAAGCTTCCTGAGACCCAGAGGAAGGTCGACATCTACTTTGTTCCGAGAAAAAATGAACCAGGCGTTTGCTACAGGCAATCTATGAAACTGACCAATAGGATTGCAGGATTTTAGAAGCGGACGAAAGCAATAGCGAAGGCGACCGAAGGCCGTCTGAGCGCTCATAGACAACAATCCACGTGATCTCTGCGCCTATAATAGTTCGGTGAATGCTACAGATAATCTGCGAAGCTCACCAATAGCGTTGCAGGATCTCAAAAAATTAAGATAAATGTTGAGGGTGGGTGAATTCGAAGGATATAAGGTATGAAATGACGTGATAGTGAGAAAGAGGTCGATGAATGAATAGCTGGAGTGTAGAATGAATATTAGGGAGAGAGAGACAGAGAGACGAAATTTGAATAAGTTCTGAGGCAGAAATCAGCTTCAGTAACTCTTTTGCATAAAGAGCTATAATTGAAGTTGTCGTATTGTGCGATGCACGGCGAGAAAAATTTGAGGGTCGCCAGCGTACAAACTTGGAGTCTATTGATTTTTCTATTTGCTGCAGCTTTTCAACACGTCAGACGTTCGACATAGATATTTCTTATTTTGTAGCGGGTGCGCCCGCTAGTTACTTATAAATTACACATTTATATTGAAACAAGTTTCATTGTGCACGTACTCGTTATCCTGAACTTGGTCTTCGCTTTTGTTGGAAATATTAGATCCAAAGTGAAAATTCTACAAGATTTATCGTTAGAAGATGACGCTTTTGAGCGTGAGCGCTCTATTCGGAACAAACGTGGCAGTTTTTTTTTCGTGTGTTAGGAAAAGCTTCTGCAACTACTGAAAAGTAAAGAACATTAATTAATCTAAGCATGTTTACCTCATTTTAACAATGGCAATTTTCGCTCTCTCTACTTTCAATGACAATAAAAAGTGACTCTATACTCAGTTAAAAAGTTTCAATGTTGCACGCCGTGCTTTTATTTACTGAAAACAAAATGCACATATCTTGTTTCTTTGACTACGGGTACGCTCGTTTTTGACTGTTTTATATATCCGTATATACAAATTCTGTCGATAGCATTATATCGGACTTCGTGGATACCAGTGCTGGTTGTTGCAAATTCTACTTTTTATCTACGTCACGTACAGACTATTACTAAACGGTTGTATTCGTCGAGGATGCTGTATTGGTAAACAAATGGAGACTAAATGTGTACAAATATCTTGATTGAAAGTAAAATTATTTGTACTTAGATTATGATACTTTGCATACATTCAGTCCACTCGATTTATATGAGTGTACTTTGACTAAGTACTGTTAACTCCTTGCAAAAAGGCGGTATATATACATACCATTTCAGACACATCTCAAAACCTAGCAACACTACAGACACAAGATCAGTTTGGAATGACTTCTATTAGCAAAAATCCACTTCTCTTCAATGATTATCATTTCGTGCGAGGTTTCAATCACCAATACGTGCAGAGAACTCAAAGGCAGGTACCCAAATCAAACGAAATGTACGTTCTCTTACAGTGTAATGTTAAGGAACGCGACGAATATATAATATCTCAGCGCACAGGCTATGATGTTGAATAATGCACAGCTAACTGGTTTCAATGTTGTCATAATTCGAAAATAGATCTTAGAGCAAGGGTACAATAGCTGCCTATCATTAGATATCAAATGTACCAGTCCGAATCTGACTGAGAAAATTTGTAAAACTGGTTATCCTCCGCTTTCCTTACGGCCTCAAATATGCTATCGTTTCAAGTCGTGTAGAGATTTTAGATGTAAGCAAACCATAAACGAAAAACCCTGTTATCAGAATAATATACAAACAAGTTCGAGAGTATATTCCAGCGCTTTTCCGCGATAAAATGTTGCAACAAATACTTCCCTACGGATCAACACTGAGACCGAATGGAGCTGATCATAATCGACAAAATAACTTCTTCTCAGATTGCGCTGATCGTAGGAAATGATTAGCGTAACAGCGCGATTTGGTGCGCTACTTTTTGATCATTCTCTCTTCGCTGTGCCATTTTAGTCACTTTATAATGCATTGCCGCTTTCCAATTCACCACAGAATTTATAGATAACGGATAGCATAGTATCCTATCCAAGAACAAAGTATAAACCAACATAACACTTCATTATCAAGCTCGCAATACATTTAGGATTTGGAATCAAACATAAAACAGCTAGATAATAGAGTCCTGCATCGGGATTTTTTCGGGACTGAATATTTTTGAAAAAACGTTTTAAGCTTGTTTCTTGGGTTATTTTAAAGGTATGCAATAAATAGAGGCGACGATTCTGTGTCGGATCATCGTATTTTTGAATCCCATTCGAACTCTATCGTAGAAGGAATATCATCGGGATTAGAAAAACCCGAAAAATCGGGATTTTTTCATCCCGCTGACTTTTCTCACGGGATGGATCAAGGATGTGACAAGAAAAACACAATGATCCGATACAGAATTTTTTACTCTATTCATTGCACCTATTTAAAACAGCATAAGTTGAAGATTGACGTTTCTTTCTTTAAAATTCTAAATCCCGAAAAACTCCCGATGCAGGACTCTACTCGATAATAATCAAACGTCGCTCCCATTCAATGTACCTTGGTCTGATGACTTTACCTTTACGAGAATTGACATGTAAAATACATACGTGCTGTACTCCTGTCAATACAATTCTCCCATATCTCCAATATAGTCGAGCAGTCTGCAGCACTGTTATCTTGTCAATCGCACACTTTCAGAAAAAAATCCAATCCAAGAGAACCTCTCATAAACGCATCGTACCATACCATGGTACCTCTTCCATCAAACGCTGCTCTGTTACAACTTCGCAACTAAAGCATTCACTTCTACTAATGCACATATATTTTCCCACAACAAAAAGCATTCTCATTAAGGTCACATGCTCCTCTCGCAACACAATTCATTTTTTATTCATCCACTACCTCTCAATGCCACCAAAATCACACATCAAATAATATCGATTAAGTTCTCAATCGAAAAGCATCCTTTCGACGAAAAGAGTCACCAGATCCACCATCACTTGTTCTCCCATTCCATTCAGCGCAAGATCTACACCATATTAACGCTCTAACAATTAGATAAATCAGATATTCCAAATTTCCTCCAGCAAAGCATCAGTCTTACTGCATTCCTACGCAACGCGTCCGCAATGTGTTGTGCTTCTTCATCGTCGATTTCGTTATCGAAGAGGTTTAGTGTTGTGAGTGTCTGTAGGTGTGAGAGAGATTGAGTGCTCCACCTTCCGTGAAATGAGATCAATATTACCGTGTTCGTTTGTAACGCCTTCGCAATGTGTTTTGCTCCTCCAGCGTAGAATTCGTTACTTCCGAGGTTTAGTGTGGTAAGTGCCTGTAGGTGTGAGAGAGATTGAGTGCTCCACCTTCCGTGAAATGAGATCAGTATTACCGTGTTCGTTCGTAACGCATTGGCAATGTGTTGTGCTCCTTCATCACCGATTTCGTTACTTCCGAGGTTTAGTGTGGTAAGTGTCTGTAGGTGTGAGAGAGATTGAGTGCTCCACCTTTCGTGAGATGAGATCAATATTACCTTGTTCGTTCGCAACGCATTGGCAATGTGTTGTGCTCCTTCATCACCGATTTCGTTACGGACGAGGCTTAGTGTGGTGAGTGTCTGTAGTTGTGAGAGAGATTGAGTGCTCCACCTTCCGTGAAATGAGATCAGTATTACCTTGTTCGTTCGCAACGCATTGGCAATGTGTTGTGCTCCTTCATCACCGATTTCGTTACGGACGAGGCTTAGTGTGGTGAGTGTCTGTAGTTGTGAGAGAGACTGAGTACTTCACCTTTCGTGAGATGAGATCAATATTACCGTGTTCGTTCGTAACGCATCGGCAACGTGTTGTGCCCCTTCAGCACCGATTCCGTTCTGCTCGAGGTCTAGTGTGGTGAGTGTCTGTAGGTGTGAGAGAGACTGAGTACTTCACCTTCCGTGAAATGAGATCGATATTACTGTGTTCGTTCGCAACGCATCCGCAATGTGTTGTGCTCCTTCGCCACCGATTCTGTTGAGGGTGAGATATAGCGTGGTGAGTGTCTGTAGGTGTGAGAGAGACTGAGTACTTCACCTTTCGTGAGATGAGATCAATATTACCGTGTTCGTTCGTAACGCATCCGCAACGTGTTGTGCCCCTTCATTACCGATTCCGTTCCAATTGAGGTTTAGTGTGGTGAGTGTCTGTAGGTGTGAGAGAGACTGAGTACTTCACCTTCCGTGAAATGAGATCGATATTACTGTGTTCGTTCGCAATGCATCCGCAACGTGTTGTGCCCCTTCATCACCGATTTCGCTACGGGCGAGGCTTAGTCTGGTTAGTGTCTACATCAAAAGCAATATATGATGAAAAGGACAAGTAGCAAAGAGAACCTTTGATGACACATCTGATTGTATATGTGTGATATGAAGTAGTGATGTGTGGGGACGATTTTTAGCGAGCAGTTGGATCTAGATGTTAGTTTTTTGGTGTGGATGATGATTGTAGTTGTTGCGCAGGAAAGACTGCGTTCAGAGAAGAAGTGCTGTGTTGGCAATATGGACAAGAGATTACCGTGAGCTGATTGAGTGGAAAGAGTAGGATGTAACTATCAATGGTTATTAATGGTTGCGAGATATCTCTTTTGAGGGCGCCCTCCAATGAAATTCAAATGCTGCTCTTGGGATATGTGGGAGTTAGATTCGGCGTGGGTGAGGGTGAGAATGAATATAGGCATATGTCCAGAAATAGTGTAGGTCAGTTTGCTTCATTTGGGAGGTTTCATGAAAAGTGATAGTTGATGCACTCTTGTATCGAATAGTTCAACATGCATAGATGGAAGATGAGAGAGTGAAGGAATGCTTGATTTCATTTGACTTCGCACTGTGATCGTCTGATTCGATCAAATTATTTGTGGATGATGAGATTACTTTACCTCTTCCTATGAGGAAATTCACGGCGTCAAATATCATTAGGCTTATGTGTAGCACAACCGACAAGAGTGTTAAGGTGCCAAGTAAACTTACTCGGTATCGTTCATAGGTGCTCAGGATCTGATTGAGCCGCCGAGAAATATTTTGCATTGAGCAAAATAGTGTCTGCGCATTTTGGTGATCCATAATTCGATAAACAAGTTCGACGGGTAATGTGGAAAATGTGTGCATGTTGTATTTCAATCGTGCAGCAGGCCGTACCGTAATGACCGGAAGCGTTGAAAAATGTTTGGGTTTGTTCGTTATCAGTAGTAACTCATGGTAGTGATATAGTTATATATGCTTTTGACGAAAACAAATGACGTGTAATCATTTCAACAGTTATACGAATTGTGGACGTGCGCAGAAAGATGGCGTTAGAACACGCATGCTCATTGAATTCTGTTTTGATATTTAAAATAGACGTTTCAGAACTAAAAGTAGAAAATCTTTTATGCCTTTGACTCCTTTGCAAGCCGATTCGATTTTCTTCAAAAGAAATTGGCGCCTCTAAATTAATTTTTTAGCTAAATTGTGTAGTGGAAGATAAAACACTCTACAGCTTACATTAGAGATTTATTTTGATTATGTAAATTTTGTTTTCAAGAACGCTAAATGCGAACCAGTCAGTTTTCACTGATTGATTTGCACCATTTGACGTTTTCAGTAAAAAAACACATGACTGTGAAAATTTTCACTATATACACTGAAAAAAAAAGGTACTCTACCAAACCCATCAAAAAGGTTTCGTATTTTGTGACGAAACCTTAAAAGGTTCCGTGATGAGGGTTCGGAGCGTGTGCCCGCCGACCGATCTTTTTTTGGTTTGGCAGATTTTGAAAAGCATTTTTTTGAACACGTCGACACATTTGCAAGCTTTCGACGCTTACGAAACCTTTTTGATGGGTTTGGTAGAGTACCTTATTTTTTTTCAGTGTAGTTTGCTGAGCGCTTCATGCAGCATCTCTTAGTGTGTTCGTTTCATTCTTCCCAAGTCTTATTCAATGATAGATAAAAGAAATAAGAAAAAATGATCGTTTGTCAACTTGAAAAACCAGTCACGTGACCTTTTATTTCGTTTTGAAGCCACAAAATATAAAATTGAGCTACGGTTTACCGCAGGGGTGACGTTAACTTGAACATCTAAAGCTAAGTGAAATTGCCACTCCTAAAAAATATATATGTTTTTTTTGTGTCGAAGAGTAAGTTAGAACACTCAGCATCTTTTACATCAATAGAATGTCAGCTCCCTCACCGAGATGCTCTAACAATTTGTTGTGAATTCATTTTGGAAGAATTAATTACCCTATGGCATTTTAGTAAATAAGAAAGCGTGGAAAACCTTCGAAAAAACAGACGTTATCTATTCTCGTCGAAAACAAGGCGTTTAGCTTATTGGAAAAGCTAAACCGCTTTTCGATATGCCCAAACAGATGGCTTTAAGGACAATCATCAAATCTACAAGAACGCTGTAATATCTTACTTTAAAACATCCGTAGTTCTGTTAACAGATAACTACCGATTAGTTTCTTACAATATAATAACCATGACATATGCGAGCATTTACAATGAAGAGCAAAAATAGTACGCGATTTATTATTTGGCTGTGGAGGATAGTATTTTATGTAATGCGTGCTATATGTTATATCGTTCCATAGGTGTTTACTCTGTGCTTTCTGCCATAAATTATGAAACGAATGAAACTACATTGTTCTAGTTTTTCAGCATCGGTTTTCTTTTTGCTGAAATACATATTGCTCATATAATTTGCCTGAAAATCTATTTTATTGCTTAATTGATGCGTATTCATATTCTCTCTTACTAGAATTATTTTCCACGATTTGATTCCCGCTGATAACAACAAGTAACGCTCGTCGTTAGACGCGCTCAGCTCTTTGTCGTAGAAATATTGATTTCAGATGTCATAGTTTTAATGCATTATTGTGTATATGAACAACAGCTACGTTACTTCAGAGTTCGTTTATGAAGATCACTAATTAACTACCAGGTCACTAGAGATTGACGAGAATATTTATACACTTGACTATATCCGATATCATATGGTTATGCATGTTCTTTTTTCCGAGAATGGGCATCCTTTGTTTCAAATTTTTTTTTTGCAATTCTCAAAAAACAAACCCTTTGGTCAGCTTTTATAAAAAAAATTCGAAGAGCGAACATCCAATTCGGCGTCTCCGCAATGAAGTACCTCTGAAAATATCTTTCCAGAAAAATCGATGTTCGATGTTTTTTTTACCCTGCGGACATACAAGCGAGCAATAAAAAGAAAAGAAAGAGTAGATAGTTATATACTTTCAAAAGACAAACTATCAGTGTACTATTTTCAAAAAGAAAAGAATACTCAACTCAAACTCGAAAAAAAATTTTTCTATTTAAATTAAATTAAAAAATAATTTCTTGTTGTTTTTTATTGACTAGTTTCTGTCAAGTTGTTACTTGACGTCGTCAGAATCTTTAATGGCAGGCTAGAACTGAAAACTAATTTTAATAAAACATACTGGTTTACACAAAATGGCTAGAAGAGTCCCTCTGGTGTTGCTTGATGGGCCTCATGTTTACATCAAGACTCCTCATCGGAGAGATTGAGGGTGGCCATTTGTGATGTTGCCACCCATATTGTTGTTGTAAATGATGATGGTTGGCTGTGGTGTGTTGGGTGGCCCGTCATCCATCCTCTCCTTCGATGTTGTTGGAGGTGGTGGTGCCGATACAGTCGGGTAGCCGGTTCCCTTCTCATAACACTGGCATGAGTTCCCAACAGTCTTCGAATGTTCCCATTCTCGCTAGAGGTTGTACGACCAGTGTGACGAAAACCATACCCGGTGGGTCCCACCGTCTGCCTTCTCCTGTCGGACAAAATGTAGTCCATTAGACTACCACTCGCCTGACTCCCTCGTGGTCGATTTGACACGAAGAAGTCCCCCACGGGCACCCACATTCCATCTCCACTCCGCTCGCAAGCGTACAGGCAGTAGGATCCGTCTTGGTTCGAGTGGTATATCGTGGTCTTTCGTCATATGGTGGACGGGTGTCCACATGCACACCTTCTCGTGCAACATTCACGTTGATAATGGATTGTGAATTAGTCATCTCAAATAAACAAAACAAGTACAATCTTATGCAAATCAGTGTCAAATTATGAATTTTTCTAATATAAGATCGGCTTCTGTTGAAAAGAAGGCTAGACATTACTATCTTATCCGAGACCAGGACGATCTTCTGTCAATAACTGAAAAACTCATCGGTTTATATACTCATCGTCATGCAATGTCATTGGTGTATTAAGAAATCTCCTAATAGATCAATACGAAACGTTTCTTAACGGATCAATCACATCTGTTCATTTTGACATATATACAGAACACAGAAGAAATCTGTTTTCTTCTCTACCATACATAAATCGTTCTTCACTTCAAAATGCATCTACTATTTCCAACTACTAGATGGTTGAATTGGACAACTGTGTATCATGCGCAAGACAGCGAGTTCAAATCTCGCATTCAGTAGTTTTATTTTTTATTCTTTTTTTCATTCTGATCATATATCTCTTCACTCTAAAAGGTAACTGTAATGACAAACTGGTTGAGTAGCTGACCGCTTCTCACGGTATCGATGTTTATTGACTACTCTACATGACCAGAATGTGTCTCTTTCAAAATAAGACACGCGCTTATATAGAGAAGAGGAAGAG